CGTTAATAGTACAGCGGTGGTATGCACAACTAATTATAGAAGACGTGTGTGTGTGTGTGTGTGTGAGAGAGAGAGAGAGACAGAGAGAGACAATTAAGATATATTAGTTTAACTTGAGCTTCCGGACAGAAAACCTTTTTCATCCATGACAACACTATTAATCCCATTATATCATAAATTAGATACTGCATCACTAATACAATAGCAGGTGTATAAAACATTTGCACAAACATGTCCACAAACTCCTAACTGCTGTATCTGAATTTTAAGCACTGAATTTGTGCATCTGCTCATTGTGACCTCCATTCGCCCTCTCAAGCAATTTGAGCATTAAGCAACTGGCCCACTATGATCGCCCACTAACGGCTTTCCTGCCAAGACCGTAGAGATTTACAGACTTCGCTGGCCTTATGGGAGCTGCTCAAAACAAAACAACCCTGACAGTCGCTAACCGTCTCGAGAATGCAGCAGTGGTTTTTTTTAGCAAGTGTGTAGAGTGTCTTTGCCACATCTCTGCTGAGACAGAGGGCAGAAGTGGGAGCAGAGACAAAGAACAAGAGACAATCAATGGCTAATGGCTTTCCCACAGGGCCATCACTTACTGCAGCTCACAGTGAAAAGTGTGGATCCACAGGGGAGCAGCTACTAGGAAACCTCAGACTTCATCTACTAACAAGGCTGTGGGAGCAGCTCTGCCTCACTGAAGAGAAACAAAATTGTCATTTGTCTTTAGTGAACAATGTGGTGATGAGCATCTGACAAAGGCAGACTAAAATTATCTGTCTATAATTGTTGAAGCTTTCCACTCACCACGGTCTAATGCTGGCCGACATGTCTACTCTGAACTCTGTGACAGTCTGTTGAAGCATGAGGAAAGAGAATGGTTGGCTTTATGTAGCAATACATTTCTGTCTATTCATATTAAGGGATGTAACTGACAATTGTTTTCATCAATTAATGTATTGATTATTTTTCAATGACTAGTGCATATTTGCCAGATTAGGGGTACCACAAGGTTCTGTGGTTCTGTGCATGACCGAATGTTATTTGCAATCTACATAAACTTGTTTTATTTTATTAAAGGTACAGTGTGTAGAATTTTGTGATATCTGAACTTGCATGTTGCAGCTGAACACCCCTCACCTCACCCTCTCCTTCCAATCATGAAAAAGAAACTGTGGTAACCTTAAATTGTCATAAAACTCAAAAGGTGTTTAGTTTGTCCAGTCTGGACTAATGTTAAAAACATGGTGGCCTCCGTAGAGAGGGTCCCCTCGATGTAAATATAAAGTATTTAAATATAAAGGACCTTTTCTGGGGTAAAGAAAACTGCAATTTATACAATTTAGATGAAACAACTAGTGAAAACATCATGAGGATTATTCTACATTAACTTTCTGCCAATCGTTCCCTTTCACCTAAATCTTACACACTGGACCTTTAAGATGATACAGACTACATCCGCACTTCTATGTTATCGATCGAAAATGCATCAATTCTGTTACAACTGCCATCCACACTTTTCTGACTTTTAGATTCACAAAAGACAGTAGATTGGAAACACTGCTGGAAATCTTTGGAAAGAGGTTATGTGTTTTTGTTTACACACATCACCAGCGTTGGCCCTTATCACCAAAAGCTCCTGAAGCTTGTTGTCTTTCCAAGTTGACGTCTTCTTTCACGTCATCTACATGCATGGCTCCTTTTTTTCATCCTTAGATATTTGTAATATTTTGTTTTGTCGCTTATTAGAAACGTTATCAACACACCCAGTCGCTCACTCTGATGTTTTACAGACATTTCACATCCATTAAGGCTGAATGAAACATTCATGACTGTAAACACACATGTGGGGATATAAATGCAGAGCGCCAACCCCAGTGTAAACACAATGAATGAAAATCCCATCAATAATACACTAAGGTGAATTTCAAAGAGAGACGCTTTTGATCTGAGAACATGAATTACTGTCATCTCGACCTGACAAAGATCGATTGGTTTCAAGAGGCTTCCAACCAGAGCTGTGAGCGGAATATTTAACCGTTTTAACTCAGAGTGATCACAATCATTATGTGATCAGTGTCATTGTAGCTCGGAGATGGAACACACACTGTCCCACACAAGCACATGCACACAAACACACATCGTTGATTTTGTCCAGGGAGGAAAACAATATAAAAATTGTCCGTCCCTGCTGTTTAAGTATTGAAGTTCTGGTCTAGTAAGCAATCCATCAATTCCACCATCTATCTACTAATCAATTCATTCACTCATTCATTCCCTCGCCACTTCATTGGTCCACATGTTCATTCAACCAAGCCTTCACTAATGTGATTTGCTCGGGCTCCACGTCCCTTCACTTCCATCTTGCATCTCTAACTAATATGGAGGACCTGATACATAGTAATCAGTTTTCTAGACATTTTATTTTCCACGTGGCCAGTCAGCTTTTACACGTGACACATATATTGATGGTTTTCTATATGTATATGGGACTACTCACTGGAACACAGTTCAAACCACTGAACCCTATATGGTCAGTCCTTCACCAAACCCTTCTGTTCGCCTCACCATTGCCTCTCCACCAATCGTCTGCAAACTCAGGAGAAGCAGACGTAATCTCATTTGATAATTGTTTGTACCAGCAGGTGTCAGTCACACCGCAATCCCTGTGAGTGCGGGAGCTCAGGGACGTCTGTGCATGTGTGTTTGCATGAATCAAAACGAAGAGGAAGAAAATCTAATCGAAGGAGAAATTGCCTCCAGTTTTGGCGAAGTGACCGTTTAGAGATGAATTCCTGTGTGGGGGAGGGTTTCAGTTTAGATTTACCTTTACATTTGTCTCACTGTTCTCTGCATTTTGACGATGAGGCAGCTAAAGCTTTTTTCCCCATGTATTCTTCCTGCTGCAGTAAAGCCTGATGTCTGATCTGATCCCAGGCTACACACACACACACACACACACACAGACACACACACACACACACACACACAGATTTGATTTGAAGTGCAGGCAAGAAAAATAATCAGCAGGTGGCGAAACATTAAACCGAAAAAGCCCAGCAGGAGTCCTTCTGTGGTTTTTGGCAGTCTTTGAGGCAGGCACTTCTGACACATTGATAGGCAGATATAGACAAACAGAGTTAGTTATTCTATTTGAGAAATCTTTTTTACTGTCTTTCTCTTTCTTTACTCTAAGTAAAAACTTATTTAAGGGAACTGTTTGTTTGTCACAATTTAACCATGGTTCTAAACAGGTCAAGAATCAAAATGGTGAGGCTTTATGAGGCATACATCGTAAACTACGAACCTTAGTTTTTGTGACTCTATTCGTCTTGTCACTAAATTTACTGTATTTTTTCACTGTAGCTTTCTTTTTTCATTATCTTTCCTCCCCTCCAATCTACAGCACCATCAGCAGTCTGCTTCAAGTGATAATATTAATGTGTTCTTTGTTGATAAAAGCCAACCTCACTCACAACAGATTCTTTATATGGGAAGTTTGAGATTACGGAGTTCCAACCATGGAAACAGCAGCATCAAACAAAACACAGGTAGCAACTAGCTGTTGAACATAGTGGACCCAGATATATTCCTCAAGACATGGTGGACACCAAAAAGAGAGCTGGAAGAGAATTTTAAAACTTACATTTCCCTTATGGCAACACTGATGACAACAAACGAATGATGAGGTTGCTTATAACTGCTGAAGGGTTCAGAAAACAACTTTTTGCTAACAAGTTTGCTATATCAACTTATTTACACTATGTTTTTAGCCTAAAAATCCACCGGAAGTGGCTAAGCTAGCGGATTTCGCTACATGATGGTGTGTCTGAGGGGCCGTCAATGCACATCTTAGGAAGATATCAGCAGACATTTAGGTTTATTACACATTATGTGACTATCATCACAGAGACCTGGCGGAACAACAACATGCCAGACACTGCGATCAAAGTAGCCGGCTGCTCTCAGATCGGACCAAACGAGAGACTCAGGGAAGAGCAGAGGAGGAGGTGTGTGTCTTTACGTGAACAGCTGGTGCACAGCCCTGGAGCTCCTCACAGAAAGGTGCACACCGTTCTTTCTTCCAAGGGAATAATTATGGCACTATACATTCCCCCAAAAGCTACGCTCAGGTAGCGCTCGAAAAGCCTCATGACGTCATCAACTGATTATTGAAGCAGGGGACTTCATTTAATGTTAATAAATTAACAATCATACAGCAACAAAAAGACAAATGATGTCATCGCTATGCATCCTACAAACAGCTCTGTGTCTTTTTTTTTTTTTTAAACAAATGCACATGCTGTCTCCACCGAGGTTTTTTAGGACAGGACGCAATGGAAAAATACCACTTTTGTCCACAGAGGTGCCAAAATCAACAAAAATGAAAAAGTCCTTGTAGTGGCTTTAAATTATGGAACAGATAGAGGACTATGAGACAGAGACACATGGAGACACAAACAACCACGCACACCTGGAAACCCACACATACACAGGGCGAACATGAAAACTCCATACAGTTATGTTCAAACCCAGAACCTTCCTGCTGTGAGGCCACAGTGCTAACCACTGCTCCACCGCACCTGAATTCATAGCGTCACTTGAATTTTCCCTCTAGCACTGTCTCCACCCTTCTTCCTCCATCCATCACCTTTTTTATTAACCAACCCCCCCCAACCCCAACTTTCAAAGCCTGTTTCTCTGCCCTTTCATCTTTACCATGTAAAGACTCAGCTATCACTTCTCAAAGCTCAACACTAAAGAACATTTCAATAATAAGTTTATTTACACAGCAACAACATCAAGTAGTCTGTTTTGCTGTGACTCTATGTGTGCGTGTTTATGTGTGTGTGCGTGAAAACCATAGACTGTATATAAACGCGCGTGTGTGTCGTTCAAAAAGTTAATCTCTGGATCTGCAACTTGACGGACGTGCATGGGGCGCCACCCAGCGGTAGACGGGATAAACAACAACCGGCGGAAAAAACCCGAAAGCGCAGAGTTTGTCCCTCACGAGTCGCTGTTGAACAGAACTGTCATGTCGGCTCACTTGATGGTAAGTCACCCTTCAAATACAGACTCATTACTACACTTGTCTCAGCGATCAGAAAGAGAAGTACTTTTTAAAATGGATCAGAGCATGTTGTTGGTCAGAGAACAGGCTGTGTGTGACGTGTAAGTGGATAACTTTACATTAGCTGGGTGTTGTTGTTGGTGCTGAGGACTGATACTAAAGTTAGCCGCTGTTAGCTCCACGTGTGAATATATAACGTCATATTAGTGGTTCTAGTCTAACCTTGCAAACCTTCTATCGAGCTGACACAGTAATGGCTTCAGTTTGGAGACATTTCTTATATCGTCCTCTTCCGGAGCACATCTGGAGGACACCTCTCACTGTGTCCGTGTTCAGTCTCTGCACAGATGTTGCCAGCGGTCGGCCCTCCTCCTTGTTGCCAGGCGACCATGGAGCTCGAGCTCGGCGTCTCCTCCTCCTCTGCCCACGAGGCTGCTCCTCTTCCTCACCCAGAGGTTCTATGATATGGAGATGCTCCTGAGCTGGAGCTCTCGGCTGAGGAGGAGGGGGATTAAGACGAAGAACGCGTAAGAGATAACTATTATAACTAACTACTATAACTACAGTATTAAAATCATGTAATTGTCACAATCATCATTATTGGTATTATTGCTGTTGTGACCATCACTGTCTTCCACAGTTACTACAGCTACGCTCGGAGGTTTCATGGGGCGGACATAGCTGCAGCTTACTATGTCTTAAATCTAAAGGGAGGATTTCGGTAAGTACCATGTCACTTCATCATGTATGTACATGCATACACTCAAGATTCTTTTTTTTTTTCATTTAAATTACTGTTAAATAGAATAAGTTGCGTGAGAAGAAATTATTCTAATAAAAATTATTAGAAAATAATAGGATAAGGCCGCTACTGCTGTATGACCCTGATGATTATGGGCTTAAACTTGTCTTTTTCTCTATTTACTATATTCATGTAACTTGATTAGGACCAAACATTTAGTCATGTGGGGCTGAAAGTGATGATTGTTATCATTACTCAATCGGCAGATGATTTCCTCAGTTGATCAACTTAAAAAAAAAAAATGTTGGGAAACTGGCAGCTTCAGACTTCGTTCCCAAATTATTGAAAGCAGTATTTCAGGCAATAATAATATTTTTCTAAATAATTTGTTTATTTCCAATTGAAAGAGTAATTAATTTGTATTCATATGAAAATACTCAAACTGGACATAATGACGACTTAATGGAAAACCAGCTAAACTAAAGGTCTGTGTAGCTGTGAAGTTTCCTTCTTCTAAACTTTTGGGAACTCAAGCTTCAAGAGATTGAAAGCGAGTAAACTATCTACTTGTTGTCTGACTCTACATATCTGCATTTGATGTACACACCCATTACTTCCATTTCTTAAATGTTTTGGCCTGAACCAAACTTCATGTGATTGTGTTGTGTGCTCAGGTATGTTGGGCAGTCAGCCTGGTTTCGTGCTGACCAGAGAGGCAAGTTCAGTTGGGATTTCTTCAACCACAAAAACACACCGCTAGAGGAAGTAGACATGAGCTACTCAATCATCAATTACACAGGACTGGGAAACCTCGGTACTGAGCATTTTTTCCTCTCATAATTGTATTTATTCTGATGTAACCTGATTCATGTGACACCTACACATGTACTGTGTAAGTGCAGGGTTTTTAATTTGATTTGTCTTCCCTCAGAGGGACAGCGATTTTTGAGGACTCTGTCTTTGAGAGGATGTCCTGAAGTGGACGACTGGTTTCTGGCCAAGCTCCACGTGTTCCAGGACTCTCTGGAGGAACTGGACATCTCTCACTGTCCACGCATCACAGCAGGCGGCCTGGCTGCACTGAGGAATCTCAAGTAATTATACAGACGCTCACAATAAAGCCTAGTTATTACCAATCCTGTTGTGTTAAACATCTCTTTTTGTGGGTTGTTCTGCAGGGGACTGCGGCGTCTGGACATATCATCCCTACCTGGGATCTCGAATCCTGGGTTGATCATCATCCTACTGGAGGAAATGTTACCACAGTGCCAAATCACAGCGACTGGCTACGACCTCAGTCTGACTCAGGAGGAAGAAGGGGAGAAGATGGAGCTAATGCAGGGGCAGAGGTAGAGCATAGACAGGGACAGGACGTGAAGACAAGGAGTTCTCAGAGACTTCTGTGCTTTTCAGAAAATGACTAAGTGAGGTGCAGAGGGAACCCTTGACATAAGAAGACAAGACGTGATAGGTCTGATTTTTGCAGCGTTACAGCGATCACAGCTTAATGTCAGTGTCGGACCAGGCCAGAGAAAGATTGAGTTCTTGATGTAATCCTGCAGAGTCAACCAGGTACAGACTCATATTAAATTGGACATTTATAACACAAGATTGGATATAAACATTTTAAAAACAGTTACACGTGGAACAAGAATAGACAACGTCAAGTTTGTTGAGTTATTGGTCATATGTATTTAAGATATTTGTTATCACAACTCTGTTTTCAGACATGAACTCTGGAGAATGTCTGCACAATGGGCTTTGGACTGTCTTCAGAAGTTGCCTTTCACAAATGAAGAAGGCGGCAGGAGATTCTCTGGTCAGACATGTAACAACACAGAAATCTCTGTGGCGTTCAGGCGAGGGGTAGCGCATCATGCAGCATATAAAATCCACTGGGCAGATCGTGATGTGTTTTTGTCAGGAGAAACTCTGGAGAATGTGAACAGCAACTAACTCAGTCTCTCTGGCCATTCAATTTCAAATCAAGTCGAGTTGCACTATTGTGAACGTCATTTCTCTGTCTCCAGCCAATCAAACTTTGTCTTCATATGTGTTAGTGATCTTATTTGTTGTTGAGATGTAAATATGATTGTAAATGTACAAAATAAAAATTACATTGTTCAGTACTGTGAGTACGTGGCATTGAATTGTAACCTTTGCCTGTGACCCATAATGAATGTTTAGCCCTGCACAGTGCGTCTGTATGTGTTTGGAATCTTCACTATGAGAGCTTGCATGAGCAATCTAAGCCCATAATCCAGCGTGAGCCTTCATGTGTCTACAGCAGGGCCGCAGGTCGGAGCGCACAGTGGGCTGGTGAAGACACCAGTTGGACTGGGAGGAGATAATGAAAGGGGATGAATGAATCACTGGAAGTTTTAGAAATACAGATGCAGTAAACTTACACCGGTTTGGTCGGCAGGTTTAGATTTAATAGATTTCCCTCAGTGCACTTCTCACCTCCATCGTCTGCCTTAAAATTAAACGCAAGTATCTCTATTGATCTGTAGTGTTACTCATGTTTGTTGATTGTGAGTCTGTTGAATATAAATTAATTCATGTGGCATTTAACAGAACATCGGGTGTTCCGGCGATATGGCGGTAGGAACTGTAAACTGTGTCATATCACCCCGGACCCTTTTTATTGACGGACAACAACAAGACGGGCCAGCTGAGAGCTACTGGTCACAACTTAGTTAAATAGTGGATTCACATTAGTTGTCATTCGGACCCCTGTGGTTAAAGGGTTTCAGTGGACGGATAAATGTCTGATGCAGCAGGTAATAATGTTTGTCTGATGTGAAACGGACCTGCTCGTTGTTTCCAGCAGGTCCACGGCGCAAGTTCAGCTAGCTTTGAAGCTAACACGGATATTTACACAGAGGAATACGTGTTGAGGATCTTGTTTGTTTGACGGACTGTTTGTTTGTTGTTCTGTCAGAACGCCCTGATAGCAAAGAAGAGGAGGAGGTTTCACAGGAACCAGAGGTAAACACTAAAGAGATACGTTTGTATTCGTCGCTGACTGTAGCAAGTGGATGCTAGCAGGTGTGCTACTGTCACCCAGCTGAGACAAAATCCAAACAAGGCAGAGATCTGTGAGCGTCTGATGTTCATAACACACATCAGCTGTCTTTACTGTGTCCGGATTTATTCTGTCACTCATTATTTCTATTGTTTATAGGAACAATCCGACGACAGCAGTGAGGAGGAGGCAGCAGGAGACACAGAAAGTATGTAAACACGAGCATGTGTAATATGCTGTGAAGTTATCACCACGAAATAATACCTGATAATATCCAGTTTTACTGCTGTTGAGTATTTGTATTCTTTCTTGTATTTAGAACTATTTAATTTAAGTTTTGCCATTTGAAGATTTTGTATGTTTCGTGTTTTATGTTTTGTTATTTCTGTGGTTTTCATAGAAGCCTTTAATGGTCTCTACCACTCACCACACGTAGTATTAAGATTTGCATTTGTGTAGTTTTTGTTTTTTTTACTTGATGGCTCAAGAGATAGAGCGAGTCAACCACTAAACAGTTGGATGGTGGTTCAATCCCAGTCTGTGAGCATAAGTGTCTTTGGGATAGATACTGAACTCCCAAAATTGCCCCTGATATTTGTGTCACTAGTGATGAGCGACAGACAAAGTGTTGTATATAGATGCACGAATGTTGTGTGTGTGTGTGTGTGTGTGTGTGTGTGTGTGTGTGTGTGNTGTGTGTGTGTGTGTGTGTGTGTGTGTGTCAATGGGTGATTGGCAAAACTGTGCTGTAAGAAGCACTATAGAACTCATCTGCCTGACTTTTAACCAGAATGAAGGGATGTGATCATATCACCTGCGTTTTAGCCTCAACCACTGGCTCTCAGTCTGTTTTAGAATCTATTTTATTATACTAATTATCGTAAGTAATTTTCAATCCAAGTTACATCTCTGACCTCCATGCCTTCTGTCATACTTTATGCATCACAGTGTTTTAACCTATTCCATTTTTAAACGAATGATTTCATGACTAGTTTTATTTTGCTGATGATCTTATGAGCAGTAATATGGTACTTGTGTGCAGTGCATTCTCCTCCACTTTCTTTTTTTACAAATGTACTGGTTGTATTGAGCCATGTGAACAAGAGTAAATCACTGTTTTCACCTGCCCACACTTCTGCATGCTGATGATTCTCTTCTCTGTTGCTGTCAGTGGACTTTCTGCGTAACCTCTTCTCAAGCACTCTGGGCCTCGGCTCAGCAGAAAAAGTTCTGGATGAGCTGACTCTAGACGGAGTGGCTCAATACATAAAGAGTGGCAAATGTGAGTCTCCTTGCTTCCACTCAGCATGTCCATTAGGACTGACCAAGGTGGATTGATTTACAGCTTAGAAGTCTGTTTCCACATTGCATTTATTATTTATTTAATTTGAAAGTTCCTTTGTGTCCACACAGGTAAGAACATCCTCTGCATGGTTGGAGCAGGAATATCCACATGTGAGTATCTCAGGTTTAAAATTGTACTAAATATGCATTTAAAAGTACTTTATGTAAGTACTATATGTGGTTGTGTGTATGTATACTTTATTGTTAATCTGTAAACCCTTTCTCTCCACAGCGGCTGGAATCCCTGATTTCCGTTCACCAGGAACAGGCCTGTATGCAAACCTGCAGAAATATAACCTTCCTCACCCAGAGGCCATCTTCCAGATAGATTACTTTAAGGTGGGTAAATAAAGTGTGAAGCATGGAACAGCACATAACAGCTCTCTCAGGGCCCTAAAAGTTTTAAGAATTTAAAAGTGAATATTAACGCTAGAACTTTGTCTGTGTTTGTTGGCTTGACCACTTTGGGTAGTTGCTCAATATACTCTCTTACAGTCATCCAATGGCAATTACAGGTATAACTTCTCCGATCTTCGTTGTCAGTACAATAAAATCTTATATTTTTTGCCATCTTGCGTCTCAGAAACATCCAGAGCCATTTTTCGCCTTGGCCAAGGAGCTTTACCCAGGACAGTTCAAGGTACACATAGCACTTCCAAATAACCAGCTCATGACTCTCATGTCATTTAGAAAACCGATTTGCTTCCTGTCTGACTTTTATTTGTGTTTAGCCGACAATCTGTCACTACTTCATGAAGATGCTAAAGGACAAGGGGCTCCTGAAACGCTGCTACACACAGGTAGGTAAACACGCATAATGTAACATAATGAAACTTCATTCATTTTGTCTGTGTTGACATAAATGTGTCTGTTCTGTCAGAATATTGACACACTGGAGCGAGTGGCTGGGCTGGAAGGAGAAGATCTAATCGAAGCTCATGGAACGTTTTACACATCACACTGTGTCAGTTTCTGTTGCCGTAAGGAATACAACCTGGACTGGATGAAAGGTTTGTTTTACTTCTGTTAGTATTTACATGAAAAATTATTTTTGAGTTGTTTTTTCCCCAATTGGGACATTGAACTTTTATTTTGTGCTTTGTAGAAAAGATCTTCTCTGATGACATTCCCAGATGTGACAAATGCAGCAGTTTGGTCAAACCAGGTCAGTTGATACTTGTCTCTCTGCTTCTTTTAACTTTTGTCTTGTTCAATTTTAGTTCAGCATTTTCTTGAAATTTTATTTCCTCTTGACGACCTGTCTGCACATCATTTTACCTCAACAAACATGACGATAGGGTAATTGTGTCATCACACTGTTTATTTCTGAATCTCTTCTTACCTTGGTGTTCATGGATTCTCTTCACTCAGATATCGTCTTCTTTGGAGAGAATTTGCCTGTCCGGTTCTTCACTTCAATGAAGATGGTGAGCACATGGTGATGGTTCAAAAGTATGCATGCATGTGATGTCACACTTCTGCTGAAATAAACTCTTTTCACTGTCTTTATTCACCTGTCAGGACTTTCCTCGCTGTGATCTTCTCATCGTCATGGGGACCTCTCTGCAAGTCCAGCCATTTGCAGGTCTGGTCGGCAGGTACAACAGATCAAGTTTTCTATTCCTGAAATATAGTAGATTGCTCTTATAAATAGCTTCAGCTGAGTTTTCTAAATATTGTCTAAGCAATTGTTTATTTGTTTGTCCCATTTTCTGTGGTTTCACCTGTGTTACTGGTTTTTGGGGGGTATTCAGGGTCTCAAAAAGTTGTCCCAGACTGCTCATTAACATGGAGAAGGCCGGGCAGGTGAGCAAACATCCCTCCCTGGCATCTCCTTGTTTTAAGTATTCTATTGTGTCATAAATGTGTTTCTGGATTCTCTGTGCAGCAATGTGTGTGTTTCTCCGTGCAGGCTGACCCTCTGTTCGGGCTGCTTGGTTTTGGAGGAGGGATGGACTTTGACTCGGACAAGGCGTACAGGTGATACAGAGACGCTGCTACGTCTCCCCACATATGAAAAGCTTTATTTTTCCAGTCTAACATAAATCTCATATTAGATTTTTATCAATACTTTTTCAGATTTCTCGTATAAAACATTAATATATTCTTTGTATTAGTCTGATCTTACACTTTATGTGTGCACCACCAGATGGTGCTAAAGCTTCATTCATAATGATTGTACTTTTTCTATTTTTGTGAAGAATATTTAAAAAATAATGCATTATATCTTTAAGCTATCTTTACTTTTAATCTTTAAGTACAGATGTTCAAGACCAAAAAGTTAAATGGTATTTGACATTCAGCGTTTCAATAGTGACAGGTGGATCAGCTCTGGAAACGAACAAAATGTTGTGGAGCCCAGTGCAGACTCTCATCGTGGCCTTTTTCTTTTCCCTCCAGAGACGTAGCTCACATCAGTACATGTGATGACGGCTGTTTGGCTCTAGCTGACCTGCTGGGATGGAAGGTAAGTTATCACATCATCTATATACAGTAGATTCAAAGGAGGGAAAGGAAAATAGCCTTCAACCAAAGAGTAATTAATCCTGACATCACTTCAGTCTGGAGGTAGGTCAATATAACCACTGTTGTAATTCAATCACTGTGTTGAGTGGTAATAAAAGTTCAACACAGTCTCATCAGCTACAGCAGAAGCAAAAACACATGAGTGTAATTGAAATGTCAGCAGAGACTGAATGTGATTTTCCTGTATGATGTTGTGGTTGCCAGCCCCCACTGTGGGAGGACTTCTCAATAAACCCGAAAAACAAGCGCTGTTTTTCTCCATGCTGTCACCAGACGCTCCCCTGTGTCTGTTTACTTTACTCCTGGTGAATACTTTCTGGTTTCAACTCTTTCCAGGTGGAGCTGGAAGAATTGGTGAAGCAGGAGCACGCCAGGATCGATAGTCAGGACAAAAAAGAAAAGGCTGGTGAGAACAGCAAAGCTGCAGCCAAGACGAGCTCTGCATCAGTGGCTCCAGAACCAGAGAAAAAGGAAGAGTAACTCATTCCCAATCTCCCTTTTTATTCAAAGCGGCTGTACTGATGTCGCTGTGTGCAGGTGACCCTTTGAAGCAGATTCTGATTGTTTCTGTTTGACGTTGAGAATTGATGCAGTTTGTTTTTATCGGCAAACATTTGATTCCTCTAAACATCCTCACAGGACGACTTTCATCTCTGTGTTTTATGCTTTTGTTTATATCAGTTACTTGCACTTTACTGACATGACTTTACTTTTTTGCATCTTAGATGTACAATGTTACGTCTGAACCACTAGTCAAGATACTTCTATTTTGCTTTTGTTTCAAATATCATGCTCATTTCAGTCACTGATTCCAGTTTATTAACCATCAAAAGGAAACAAGGCTGTTGTGTATTGAATCGCTCATGCAAGTATCACATAGATGAAATAATAACTTCATAAAAGGTGAACTTAGGTAGTAATAGATATAACAACAGGATTATTGAAATTTAGAAAATATTCTCTTGATTTTTGACTCATATTTTTTTCATGTTGACCCTCTGCTCCTGTATGAACACATTTCTGTTAATTTTTTAACACAATGTTTTTAGATGTTCATGGGGGGGAAGTTATGCTCTCTTCATATTATGAAACTACAAACTTTACATGATGCACAGTCTATAATCACAGCTTTGCTCCCTCTGTTGCCTGGACTTCAGTTGGTTGAAAGTTGATTTTTCCTAACAACAAATGTGTAATTTAATATAAGAAAATGAAAGAGTTTCATAGTGAAGCAAAGTGGAAGCCACTTAAAGTGATATTGTCTGCCGGAATCAGCTTCATTTCTATAAGCAGAAGATTATAATAACCCCTCATGCAGATTATCTTCTAATCGGTATTTGTGTCTTCATTGCGTAAATACAAAATTCACATCATCACAATTTACCGATTTTAAAAAGAACATAGGTGACATCACTGTATAGTCCTGCTCCAGATCTGATGGTCAGAGTCCACTCGCATAGAACACCTGCCACTGGACAATAGTTTGGCTCTGTATTAGTCTAGTCTAGTAACAGGAGGGCAGAGCGTCTCCCAGAAGAGCAACAGTGAGAGTCCAGGAACATATCACATGCTGCATGAGTGCACACATACAGTACACACACATACAGTGATTATAGGGAGAGCGGACATCATCACACAGGCAGTCCATGAACCTCATACATTCTAAAAGAGTGCATGAATTTGAAGCTTCTTGAAGTAGGCGACAACAGTTTGTTGTCTTGTATGAAAAGGCCTAAAATGAACTGTACGCTTGATAATTGTAAGGGAATTATTTAAGCATCTGTATAGAATGACTCTGTCCCAGGCTTTTTGGTCTCTGTTGTTGTTTTCCACTGTATTTGGGATATTTGGAAGAGAATGAATTGTTCTACTGTGACATATAGAAATAAAGGGGTGGGCACAGTAGCGTGAACGTCTGTACAATATTATGGAAACCAATACGAAAGTCTTGCAATAAATTTGCCATTGTAAACCTGACACCTTTCAGTTTTGTTGAGACTGAATGAGTTGATTCAACTACATGTATGTGGCTGTTTTAGGCTATAATTAGTAGAACATATGTAGAATATAGAAACGGATATATATATATATATATATATAAATAACACAGTGGCTGGGAAACGTGTAAACAACCCAACAGTGCGTCAACACATTGTGATCCACATGTTGCATGTGACCAATGCACAGAAACACTTGGCATCACATTTTTCCAGCTAATCACAGTAAAGCTATTGGAACAAAACATTGTAATAAAAAAACTGATGTGACTCTGGGAAGAATGTTTGTTTTCATGTAGAACCAGTAAGATTCAATTAGTAAGAAGCTTTCTGAGAAAATACGTTTTATAGCCATTTAAAGATCAATGTAAACGATGTTGTTGGGGCCTTTTACCATATTTACTTGTGACTCTTCATGGTTACACTGTAATCAAAACCATAGCTGTAATAATTTCTGTCACACAGCCCATTATACATTGATTATACTTTGAAATGTGCCAACATCAAAGACAATGTGGTTAACGTGCTAAATGTGAACTTTTCAGTGTGGTTTGTGCTTCCTTTTATCATTATCTTAAACCTTCAGATATTGTACATAAACAATACTTATTATGTCCTTATGAGACTGTCGTAACTTTTTTTTGGGACAACAAATTTCACAAAGAAACTAGTCGTATAAATACTAGGCGTATAAGAGCTGTATTTAGCCACACTAGTACTTTGATTTAAATGACAAGCTAGAATAATGTTCCTGTCTTTATTAGCACATGAAGACCAAGAGTTTCTGATGGTGATAAATAATTCACAAAGTGACATATGAGGGCACTCAGGTAACACATACTGTACAAGGCCCAGCTTGGGAAACAACATGGCCTGTGATCAAAACAGCTCAGTATTTTAATGCATTTTCACCAAAATGATTCTTACAAACATGAGGTAGGAAAGTGTGAAGATGCTACATGGAAAAGTTGACCAATCAGCAACACCTCTAGATGGGGTTTCCATTAGGACTGTCGGGCAGTCAGTGAACCAACCTGCGTGTGGGTGATTATGAAAAAGACTTGAAACCTCCCCCACCCCCAATGTGTGATCACAAAATACAGATCGATTCAAAGTTGAGTCTAATGCATGTATCTCTTGTTTTTTCATGTATTCACAGGTCGTCTTAGACCTGTGTGATGCATTTACACACCCGGTCTGCTCTCAACTTAAAAGGTTTGAACCCTTCCCATCACTGCTGCAGAGAAACAACAGACAGATGTAGCTGTTCGGAGAGGAGACAGTGTCGTCTCAGTGTTCATGCCGTGTACAGATGAGGGTTAACCACATAAAGAATTGTGGGGAGGAGAGGAGTGACGATGAAGAAGCAGCAGCCGTGTGAAATCCGCAGAGCAGCTTCATAAGAAAACACAAAGTTCAACAGACGTCAGTACGAGCAGGATGCAGAACAAGGCAGCAAACGTGCCAGCAGCACGACGGTTAGCCTGAAATTTAAAATACAAAACACTCAGGGGAGGATGTGTGTTTGAGGAGCATGTGAGCTTCCTATTTTCTTTTTGCAGTCTTGAGCAACATTTTGTTCTGTGTAGAAAGGAAGAGCTGAAGAGAGACGATTACAACATGTGTAGGAATGTGCTAATAGTGTAGAGGAGAAAGGTCACATGAACCAACTGAACCAGTGCAACACATGTAAGTATTTACCACAAAGCAATATGCTTTTTCTAAGAATTCAGACATTTTTTAGATTTTTGAAAATTTCTGAATAGGAATCCCTGAATCAGACTTTATGAAAACTGTAACTTTTATTCCAACTGAGCTGTTGTTTGTTTGTGTGCATAAACACGTCCATGTGTTTGTGTCCAGGGCAGTTCATAGTCCAGTTAACGGTACAACGGCCATACCATTCAGCAGGAGGCCGTCGCTCCTGGAGCAGCTCAGAGGCTGTCAGGAGGCCTGGTGTCCCAGAGCACCCTGGGATAGGGAAGGGGCCCACACTGCAATCTGTGGGACACCTGCAGGGGTGAGCTGTACTGTAAACTCTTCTTTACAAACACCCGTCAGTCAATCAAGCAGTCGTCATGTCAGTATGACATTTACATCATAGTTACATCAACTCTGACGCTGCTTCACTTATTCAGAGAAAGTCTTGAAATAGGTCCGTGTATGCAAGGAAATTATTTTACAAAATCTTAACAATAAAAAGTATTGATCTCTGACGTGTTAGTTTCACACACGTAGCGTGCAAACACTGAATCGTTCTCTTCTGGGTCTTCAGCCTTCAGTCTCCATCCTGGCTACAGAAACACATAAAATACTTGTGTTTCTATATAATAACAAACTAACGATAGGTCATCATCAAATGTTAATGAGACTGTGGCCTCTGTTATTATATATTATATAGTATTTTCTTTTTACTTTGATGACCTATCGTTAGTTTGACTTATGTCTCTTCTCGTTTGAGAAGCTAAAATAATGGGATATTTTTTTGTGTCTCAATTTCTTTTCATCTGTCCTTCTACTTTCCTATCTTCCCGTCATGTCTTCTCCCTGATCCTCACTCTTCCTTCTTTTCACTGTTTCATTCATTAACATATAATCCAGCATCCTCCTGTCACCTCCAGGTTAGTTTGCTGCTCACGTTATTTGTCAAAATTGTCTCAAATGAGCAAAGATGTAATTTTGTTTAACAACAGAAGTGTTCTTAGCCGGCCTGGATACAGAATCTCTGTGTCACAAAAGTAGTTCCCTCTTCTATTCAACTTCAACATAATGAACAGCAGTTTTGAGCTGAGTGCAGAAGTAGTGTTGGATAACAGCACGTGCAAGTCAGTGAAACGACCGTCAGCTACAAAGAGAGAATGTGAGTGGAGCAAACATTTATTTATCAGTTTTCTTTTTGAATGAGTCACATGACAATAATTACAGAGAAATGTAAAACTTTATCTAGAAATAACACGATGCATGAGTAATGGTGGTTTTGACACAGAAATGTTTTGCATCCCAACTAGTTCTCAAATTAAATGCTAATTTATTTCTGACTAAACTCTGCTGTTTTAATCAAGAGAGAAATATTTATGAACATCTCATCTGTCAAACGTCAGCGTGCTCATAGTTTGGTGATTTCAGTGAACTCGACTCAACTTCTGGTCACACCGGCATTGAAAGCCACTTCCTCTGTGTGTGTATAAATGTGTGCTAGTGTTCAACAGCTCAGTTCACTTGTGGTGCCATTAGTTGCATGTATATTGTTATAACCAGGTAAATATGTCTCAACCAAAGGTTTAGTTGTGTTTCAGTCAGTGTTTGCAGAGTAGTCAGATCATCAGAGAAGAAAAAAAGACTGGCTTTACAATGCTCTCTGTTCAAATGTTTGTTGTTTTATTAAATGCCCACGACTCGGTTCCCTTCATTCTTAACAAAAACATGTTGCTAAAGTAGATATTGTTGCTCAAGTCCAAGTGAGAGCTACAAATATTATACATCACTTTGTTTTAAACTGAACTGTTTCCACTTTGAACCAGGAAAACACACAGGCAAAACAAAAACTACAGAAATAACTTCTATGAAAAAATCTAATTGTTCAAACTTTGGCAAAAACTGTGTGTTCATGTAGGAACCAATGAATGATAGAATACATTTTGTGTTTCAACCAAATTATTATATAATTCAAAATGTTTAGCGTCGATGAAAAGTGGGTTTAATTGTATTAGACGGTTTATAATAATCAGATTGAGCCACATGAGAGTCAGAGCTGTCATTACTGCTATTGGCAAAGAGTCTGACTGTAAAGAGTTCATGTACAGTTTACATAAAATAATGCTGTTTATTTTTAATGTATTTAAGTAAGAATACAAACAGTATAACACAAGAGACTGAGCCACGTTCAGTTAGTCAGTATCAAGCCTCCATACAATCATATCAGCTCTTTATCACCAAACAAATCACTATCACATCACTGAACCTGTGAAAAATGACATCATGACTAATGATCAATACCTAATCAATACAACCTTGTCATAGAAATACTGGCACAGTGTTGTTTTTCTTCTTTACTCTCTATTTTGTATTGTCAGCATTTTCCTTTTCAATGTGAGTCCTGTCATTGAACATTTCAGAGAAGATGTCTCCTCCCATGACGAATTTCTGTTACACTTCACTTACTAAAATGAGTCACTGTGTGTGTCTCTCTATGTGTGTGTGT